ATAAACCCATCCTCACTTCGTCCGACGACGTGCCGAACGTGGCCACGTCTACACTCTGGTCATTGGCTGTGGTGAGGATAAATAACTGTTCTTGAGAACCTCATAAATCTACTGACATCTGGATACTTTATGCTGCCGCATCCCTGCGGTCTTATCTCCGGAGAAACTTGCCCGGTCCATGACTGGTACGCTTTCAGTTTATCAAGCTGGCAAGAAGGCAGGCAGCCTTCCATAAGTTCGGAAAAACTAGTACGAAGGTATAATCCCAATATCGAACGATTATAATTACACGAGTGCGAATGACTGAACTCCAAGGTAAGAAACGCCGGCAACCCAGCTCCCGGCCCGAGGGTTGGCTCCCCGCCGCAATAGTAGTCCAGCTGGAGCTCACCTGCCGGCAGGAAAGTATGCCAGACGCTCCGTCGGCATTGCCCGCTTCGTCTACAACCGGATGGTCGCCAACGACCAAGCTGGCCGACGCGGACCTCTGGCTCACACCTCACGAGCTGGAAAAGGAATTCAACGCTGCCAAGCAGGTAAACCAGTCATTAGGTTTCGTGACTGGCGTCAGCAAGTTTGTCGCCCAAGGCGCCTGCCGGAACTACCGGAACGCCCACTCCCGCTGGCTCAATAAAAGCCTCAAGGCCCACCGGCCAAAGTTCCACAAGAGGAACCGCACCGGCACCGGCTCTTTCCTGGCCGCATCAGGCATCGCCATCATCAATTACGATGGAAACCGCCGAATTCAACTGCCCTACCTGGGCAGCGTGAGAATGACACGTTCGTTACCAGAAGGCATCCCCCACGAGGTAACAACCGCAGGCGTAACGGCCGCTGGTACGCCAGCATCGCCTACTGGAAGCCGCCGATAACGCCGCCAACCGAGAAAACCAATCGGTGGGCGGCGCGGACGTCGGGAATCACTCCCTACCGTCGACAGGACGAATGAATACCGAACCCCAGGCTACGGCAGCGCCCTACGCAATTTACGGGGACCGCTGGCAAGTGGGTCGCATGCAGGGCGCCGACGCGGCAGCCGAGGGCTGGAAATAAGATGAAAGCCCAAACACCGCCTGGAACCGAGGCCACGCGGTGACGGTCTCTCGCAACAATGCCACCACCACGTCAGTATACACACGCGTAGTCCGCTCAGAGATACAACACACCCTACATGAGATCTGAGACCCTCAAAAACGAAATAAGGGTAAACCACAAATAGACACACTGTGACTCACCAGAAAAACAAGAACTCGCATGCAAACGTTGCATCGTATTCATTCCTCCGGCTTCCATGCCATGCGTCTCGTCTCTGATTTGCGTGGCATGTCTCAGTTTTACTGTAGACATAGATCAGTACAGATGGCGGACTATGGCGTACGATCACGTAAATGGTGCATAAGATTGTTGCCTCCTGTACCACAATGGTACCTTTCCAGTTGCAGTTCTAAGTGTGATCCTGCTCTGCTTTCCTGCTGAGGTTATCAACCGGGACGACGTTGGGACGCGAACACATATGGGCTATTTGTCCCAACTGCAACACCCCGCACGACCCGCTGCCATACCGCGATAACGCAGCTCGCAACCTGCTATAACTGGTGCGCTACTCGCGGTAGGCGGAGGATGTAACGCTCCCGGACGGTGTGACAAGCGCTGGCCAGAGATACTACTGCGCGTGTGCGATACTGTGGACCATGAACACTTGCCCGGCTGAAGGGAGACCAAAAGACCGGTGCACTCGTCAGCAGCCAGCCACCCATGTTGGCTCTGTACCGTGTGTTACTCAGTTGGAGTACCTTTTGCCAAAACAGTACCTGTGCCATGCGGTTCCATCGAAGCAAGGTCAACGCTGTGCCTGAAGAACTAGCCCGGTCGTTTACCGTTATCGAAGCCACGGACCAGGGTGATTCCCACGGCTTTACGCGTCCAGATCCACGACGAAGCGACGGTGAAGAAGTACGCTGACAAAGAGGGGCTCGTCGTGGACGCGTTCCTGAGCCAGTTGGCCCGCGACGCTGTCTGGCAATATTCGGCTGCCCTGGGCAAGGCAGCCTTCAAGGAGACGGAGCGGTTAGCTACAAAAGCAAACCCGCCGGCAGGCACACCAGCGGGTTAAAACTCATAGGGGCCACCTGGCCCAAGAGGTATTCATGCAAGGGGTATTGTCTCAGCACGGCAACAAAGTTTCAACACCTTCTTCCACGTCTTTCACAGCACGCCATGCCGGATATCGGCCACCAAGAACGAGCCATTGGCGCCCGTCACGCGCTTGACGCGCGGAACAATGTCAATCCAGCAGTGCAGCCGTCGAGGCAATCCAGCAGTGCATGCCGGGCCCGTGAGCGTGCATGCAGTGTGCAGCTCCCCCGGTCCCCACGGGGTTGCCCACAGCTCCGATTTGGTGTGCATTAGTCTACAGAAGTGTCTGATAGATCACGCAGACAGCTCAGCTGCAGTCCTGACACTTGAACATTTCTTGTAGCTATTGGAACCTATGTCTGATAAAATAGAGTCCTCGTTCCAAAGAAAGGTCGGCGGCTATCCGGGGAACCCACCGCTGGCACCAGGCCGGCAACCGGCACGTACCAGACGCGCGTCTCCAATTATTCAGGTGTGGACCGAGCGGCTGGAGATGCTGCGCTGTCGGCGTACGGTGAGTTGTACGGCCGAGTTCAACGGAAGCTGTTTGCCGACGTTGCGGCCGGCCGGCTGGGCAGCTCGCTGAAGAGCGCTTACCTGACACGGTACGGGATACCGGCCCGGATGTTCAACGGGGTGCGGGTGTCGCTGGAAGGGAAGGTGGCGCTCGGTCAGGGAGCAGCAGAAGCTGCGGGCAGATGACCTCAGCGCCCGCATCAAACGGGCGGAGGAACAGGTCGCTGGCCTCGCTGAACAGAGTTCCTGGGACCAGGTTCACCAGAAGAAGCGGCGGCTGGCTAATCTGCACTCCAGGCTCGCGGCGTTGGAAGCCGCATATGCTGACAGCGGAACGGGTTCGGCTGTGCTTTGGTTCCAAGCGGTTGTGGCGGATGCAACATCACCTGGAGGCCAACGGCTACTCCAGTCCGTGAGAATGGCTCAGGACTGGCAGCTACCGCAGGCGACGAGTTCTTCGTGCTGGGAGCAGAGAGAAACGGCGGTGCCAGCTGGTGGTCGCCAGTTGCCGACGACGGCACGCTGACCCTGCGGCTGCGTATGCCCGATTGCCTGGCCGGTGAGCATGGCAAGTACCTGACCATAGAGGGAGTGCGGTTTGCCTACGGCCACGAGCAGGTGCTGGCGGCGCTGCAGGGCAATGCCGAGTACGCTCAGTACCGGCGCCAGCACGGTGAACAGCCGGCCCGGGCCACGCTCTGGGTCAGGTATCAGCTACCGGTTCAAGCGGGACGGCAGGGGCTGGCGGGTGTTCGCCACCACCCGGATGATGGACGTTCCGGTGGTCACGGTAAGCCGGGGCGCATCGCGTGGACCTGACGCTGACCACCTGGCGGTGGCCGAGACCGACGCCAGTGGCAACTGCCTCCGTGCCTGGCGGGTTCCCTGGTCACCTACGGCAGGTCCAGCCATCAGGCTGAGGCACTGATCGGCGACGCGGTGGCAGCGTGGTCCGGTACGCCGGAGCCGGCAAGCCCATGTCATTGAGAAGCAGGACTTCCGGCAGAAGAAGGCTATGTTGGAGGGAGAGTCCCGCGGTACAGCCGGATGCTGTCCTCATTCAGCTACGCAAGGTCAAGGCGTACTTCATCTACCGCGGCTACCCGTCAGCGAGTGAGGTACATCAGGTGAACCGGCCTTCAGTTCCGTCATTGGCCGGGTGAAGTTCATGGAACGATATGGGCTCAGGTGTCACCAGGCAGCGGCCCTGGCGCTGGCCCGTCGTTTGCTCGGCTTGTTCGAGCGCATCCCCCGCCGTGGGTGCGCACCATCGGCACGGCGTTCACGTCGCCTTCACCGTACCCGTGACGAAAAGGCGAAGCACGTCTGGGACGTACTGGGGAGCGGTTCTGGGACAGCATGAGACCGGCGCTTGCAGCGCAGCACAGCTGGCGGAAGCGGAGACGCAGACCCAATCCGGCCCAGGGCTTAATGCGGGCTGGGGGACCGAGAGGGTGGCATGACCGAGGGGACACAGTTAGGTGTTAAAGAGGTGAGAGTCAAAAGGAGACGAAATGGCACTGAAAGTTGGGGACGGAGAAGAGGTATAAGAAAGTCTCCCATGGGCAGGTACGTGTGGTTGCGTTGCCCCTCTTTTCCTTCTCGGGGAAGGCTGCCAGGCCTGCTTACTAAAGGGCAACTTTTTTTACAACGGCTCACCCGACCATATGAATACGGTGGGTTGGAAGAATTGGTCGAGGCGGGACATTAGCCGATTCGCCATAGACCAGGCTCTTGTGTAACAGATCCATTTTTCAGATCCCCTGTCTGGGGGCTCATAAAATCACCTTGCTATTACGTCATATTTTCTGGCAGCTCAGCAGTGTTGACAAGCACAAAGTGAGCATCACTAGTATGATATTAGCAACACTGAACTGGGATTGCTACCAGTGAATCGGGTCCGTTATCATCGTCGTTCTCATCACTGTTGCCGAGGAACAGAGCATCCAGGTTGGCAAGGTCCTCCAACTCCGCCGGTATCGTGCCGGTCAATTCGTTGTCATTGAGGAACAGCTGTTCCAGGTTGACGAGATTCCCCAACTCCGCCGGTATCGTTCGGTCACACCCGTCGCCACTGAGTAGTACCACAAACTGTTACGGCTCATCCAGGTCCAAGCGTCGACAGGTATCGACTCCGGTCAACACCGTCAGTTGTCTTCCGTTCTTGTGTCACGCGAGAACACTGTTACAAGTGGTCATCGGTTCCCTAATTAATCCCGGGATATCCTTCTTTCAGCAAAACGACTCTCACCAAAAACTCCTCTTCTGACACCATACCCGTAACTGTTTGATATGGAGCAGCAGAGCAGTCAAATTGCTCAGGTTTTCTAATTCTTCCGGTATCTCCCCTGCCAGATTGTTGCCATGCGAGGTACCTAATACGTGACCCGCCAGCGGAGGCGGTCACTCCATGCCACAGGTCAATAGATTGCTCGGATAGCCAGTTGGTGCTGGTCGAGTCAGTTCGCGCCCGCCGGTGGCGTTCCCTGTAGAAGGCGTCGACCAGCGCGTCCCGGTCAGAGCAGTAGTCGAGGCCCAATCGTTCAGATCGTTGTCATCACCTCAACGCAGGGCAGACCGGGATACACCCTTCCAGGTCGGCGTTGCCGCTCAGGTAGAGGTTTTCCAAATTGCGCAATCTGACTAATTCCACGGGTATTTCCCCGTCAAGGTCGTTATCACTCAGGTCCAACTCCGTCAGATTGGACAGGTCCCCCAGGTTCTCCGGTATATTCCCGTCCAGGTCGTTGTCACTCAGGTCCAACTCCCTCAGCTGGGACAGGTCGCCCAAGTCCTCCGGTATGTTCCCGTTCAGGTCGTTGTCACTCAGGTCCAACTCCGTCAGATTGTACAGGTCCCCCAAGCCCTCCGGTATATTCCCCTCCAGGTCGTTGTCGCTCAGGTCCAACACAGTCAGATAGGGCAAGTACCTCAAATCCTCCGGTATATTCCCGTCCAACTGATTGTTGCTGAGGTTTAGCCATTCCAGAGAAACCAAGTACCTCAAATCCTCCGGTATATTCCCGTCCAATCGATTGTTGCTGAGGTTTAGCCATTCCAGAGAAACCAAGCGCTCAAATCCTCCGGTATATTCCCGTCCAATCGATTGTTGCTGAGGTCCAGTTGCCCTAGTCTGGCCAGGCCTTCCAAATCCGCCGGTATCTCCCCGGTAAACTGGTTGTTGCTGAGGTTCAACTCCCTCAGATCGTACAAGTCCCTCAAATCCTCCGGTATCTCCCCGTTAAACTGGTTGTTAGAGAAGTCAAGATATTGCAGGTTAGTCAGGTCCTCCAAGTCCGCCGATATCTCCCCAGTCAACCGGTTGTTGCCGAGATTCAACCTCCTCAGATTGGTCAAGTTCCAAAACCCCTCCGGAATATCCTCGGTCAACCGGTTGTTGCTGAGGTCTAGAACTTCCAAGCGGTACAGTTTTCCAATTTGTGTTAGTCTTTCGCCGGTAAACTGGTTGTCACTAAGAACCAACCGCCTCAGATTAGTCAGGTCCCCCAAATCCGCTGGAATCTCCCCGGTAAACTGGTTGTCAGAGAAGTCAAGATATTGCAGGTTAGTCAGGTCCCCCAAGTCCGCCGATATCTCCCCAGTCAACCGGTTGTTGCCGAGATTCAACCTCCTCAGATTGGTCAAGTTCCAAAACCCCTCCGGAATATCCTCGGTCAACTGGTTGCCATGAGGTCAAGAAATCTCAGGTTGGTCAGTTGGCTGAACGAGGCGGGAATCTCTCCGGTCAACCCGTCGTTGTCTTCGTTCTTGTTGTCCTGGAGGTACAGCACCTGCAGGTTGGTCAAGTTTCCAAACTCATCAGGTATATTTCCGTTCAATCCATTATTGCTGAGGGGCAAGAAGGAGACGCGCCCGGAGCTGTCCGCGACTACACCGTACCATGTGCCGATTGGTCCATCGCTGAGCCAACCGTCGTTGTTGGTCCAGCGATCACCGTCGGTGGCGTCGTAGAGAGCCACGAGGGCTGCTCTATCTGCTTCGACGTCCGCCGAAGTCTCTGTTTCTGGCGTAGTAAGCGGTTGAGCAGTCTCTTCTCTGACCCCATGTTCAATTTGGATGTTGGCACTCGAGGTCAAACTTGGGTTGACAATGGTTACAATTATTTCAGGCGCCCCAGTCCCAGAATAGATATAGGTGGTTTCCTTCGATCCCCTCAACCCCTTTGAGGCAGTAAACCAGGCATGAGGGTCCTCGCGGGGACCTATCGTGTTCATGTCAATGAAATCTTCCGAACTGCTAATCATGGACACGATAACTTCCCGGTCTGTATTGATTACGAACTCTGATATCTGGCCGGGAGTGTATTGGCCTTGGTTGATGCGAAGCCTGAATGTATGGGCGCCTGCGGCGGGTATATTCCATACCCCTGTGGAATCAGGAATCGGGCGTTCATGGACTACACGATCTGGTTCATTAGAGTCGATCAAAGAAATGTCCCGTCTGTAATGCATAGCATAGTTGTAATAGACAATGGCGGCCTCCAGGGTGCCCGTACGCTCTTCGCCTAGGTGATCGCCGAAGTCGCAGCCAGCGGCTTCAAACAGACTTACCAAATTCTTGATCCCGGTGCGGTCGGTAAAATGGTTGGAACTAAATGAGCTCTTTAGCTGGAGATCAAAGTCTGGACACGAACTGTCAAGCAGCTTAAAGAAAATATCCCTCTTGTATGGGCTATCTGACCCTGGTATTACCTCCCAGTTATTTACCCCTTCCTCCATTATTCTTTCTTGGTGGAATCGATAGACGTTCGTGTTTAGGTCGTCGTTTACAGCCTCGGCAAACCATTGTGCAACACCTTCGATTAACCACAAGTCTTGGCCAATTCCGTAGATCAAGCCACTTCGGTCGAGTTGAGGCGGCACATTTTCAAAATGTCCCTGAGCAAGGTGCATGTACTCATGAAGCACTATGGCTTCGGCTTGCTCCGCAGAACGACTATTGTCATTGTCCAAGAACATTATCTTCCGTGAGGTGAGGGGCACAGTGAGCCCACCGATGCCACTCGGCAAGATAAGTACCTTGATTGTCATCTGTTTTTCGTAGGCCAGCCCCAGCGCTTCAAAACCGGATTGAGCCTTGATTGCCCAGGCTGCCAGGTCGTGTACGCTTCCTCCCTTGTTGCACCCAGTGTGTGACGTACTTGCAGGGATACCCCAGCGGCAGTCTCTGCCGAAGTTCCATACCCTTATCTCAATGTCGGTGTCGTCTTCGTAGGTGCAAGTCTGTTCGTCACTTCCAATGGCGACCACCCCTAGCTCGAGATATGGAAGCCTCTCGCATTGAATCTTCCCAATGTCAGGGGGATTAACACAAAGAGACGCCGTTTCAACCATCTCACAGGCAGGAGTTTCTTGCTGGCGATAGGAAGACTTTCCCGTAGATACGGCAGCTACCTTTTGGTTTATCCTGGGAACCGGAACAAAAGTTACCGGTGAATCGCCCTGTCGATTCCCCAATTGTGTGGAATATGGTGGTCCTGAGAAACTTAGACTTGTGCGACTTTGTGAGTCCAATTGTGCAGGCCCATTGCTGGTGTTTACGGAACCCGATTCAATAGGTCCGGGAGCTTCGGGGATGTGGTAACCGACGAATGCAAAACCTTGCAACCGCCCGAGGGCCACGACCAGAGTCGCTTCTTCCACTGTGCTGCCTTCCAGGGAATATTCCACGGCAACGGGAAGCCACATCCCTTCTGCTGCGTCCACTGCTTCAGAATAGACATAGATGGTCACGTCAATAGTTGTAAGACCTGGTGGAATGTTGCCGAGAAAATTGGATAGTGGATAACGGAGTTCCACCAAGTTGCTAAAGTGTCCCGTCACAACCAGCACATCCGTAATCGGCGTTATCCAGGAAGGGACGTCTGGCACACTTGCGGGAGGCGCCTTTCCCAGTATTTCCTGCAAGTCCGCGAGGTCCTGTGTTGTCAACGGTATCTCGTCGGGCGCCGAGGTTATTTCCAGCCCATCCAGGGTGGTTTCGGTGTCAGTCACCCTCAGAATATTCCCGTCTATCTCCGTTTCCAGGAATTCTGGTCCCACCACTGTTACCTGGAAGGAAGCCTCGGTGAATATGTCGCCATCGGTAACCAGGACGACGACCTCAAAAGTCTGGTCCTCATGGGCTTCCTGGGGAGTCCAGGTGATAGTCCCATACCTGAAGTCAATCTCCATGCCTTCGGGCCCATCTAACAAGACGTAAGAAAGGAGGCGTCCACCGTTATAGGTAATTCGGGGCTGGAATGTCGTCGTGATATTGGCGATAAAGGGATCTAAATCACGCGGTGGGGGGGCCCTGAGGGTGATTGAGGTGCGAGAAGTGGAAGTGGTTCGGGATTCGGGAGTTGGTGGTCCTTCGGGAGTTGGTGATGGCTCTGGCTCGGGGGCCCCGCCAACTGCCGGCAGGTTGGTCCCAACAATGAAGCTTATAGCCTCGGACCGGAGACCGTCCTGGTCCACCGCCACGGCGCTGAACTTTATCCTTTGGCCGTAGCCTTCGGGGGAAGTCATAGTGAGCACCAGCGTACATTCGGTGACCATATTCGGTTGACAGCTTTCCTGGGCCAGCACCCTTCCGTTTTCTTCAATCAACGCTATGTAAGCAAGATTCCCATCCTCGTCCCGGGCCATGAGCTTTATCGGAATCTCCTGGTCCCTGCCTCCGGTGAGGCTGACCCCCGTAGACACTCTTTGGCCGTTAAACTCCAGCACCTGAAGGGACGGAGCTATGTTGGCCATAGGCAAAAGGGTCGCAGTAACCGTCGCTTCAGGAGTTGCGGTGGGGGTCAGGTCCGGTGCTCCTGTAGGGGTGACAGCAGAACCTAACCGGGGAGTGGCTGCCGGCCCTACTGTTGGCGAGGGTGTCGGAACGAAAGGGGGCGTAGCTGTGGGCGGGTATGAAAAGTATCGGTGTAGGTTCCGCTGTGGGAATCACCATGGTCGCAACTGTTGGCTCCGGCGTAAGGCCTAGCTCGGTTAAGGGAGTCGCGGTGGGAACGGCCACGGGAGTTGGTATTGCAGTGGGCACGATCTCCGCCATTGAAGCCGGCGTGGACGTGGCAAAGCGGCGCGTGGGCGTGGGTCTCAGGTCAATCACCAGGGGCGGAGCCTGGCTTGCTACAGGTAGAGCGCTGGGTGTGGGAACTAAAACCGGCGTTGCGGTGGCAACCGGAGTTGGTTCGGTCTCGACTGAAGGGAGCAGTTCGACAGGCGGTGCGGTAGCATCTGGAGATTCATCGCAGCCAGCGATTGCAACCAGGGCAACCAAGGCCAGGCTCAACACACCCTTCTTCAACAGCTTAGTTATCACGATTCGCACGCCGCTATCAGAAACCTATGACAATCTGGACTAACCGTGGTTAATCTGACGTTCAAGGGACTCCGTTCCTGCTTCTACCGCCGGAGCCTTCACAGAGAAGGTCTTACCACTGGCGTCCACAGGCAATGGCCGAGTAGCTCCCGGCCAGTCTCTGATGTTCAGGGCCGCGTTGCCGTCCCGGTCCTGGAGAGCGCCACATCCGGAGCAGCGCCACCGCCGTACCTCCAGCCCCAGCTTGCCCTTTCGCTCTCCACAGTCGTGGCACAGTTGGCTGGAGGGGAAGTCCCTGGCAACCTTCACGAAGGTCCCGCCCCGCCATTCGGCTTTGTACTCCAGCTGGCGCAACAGTTCCCCCGGAGCCAGATCCGACGTCTTCCGTCCCCACAGCCTCTGCCAGCCTCTGATGGACAGGGTTTCCACATGGACCACTTCGGCGTTGGCCGTAAGCCGGTGCGACAACTGGTGCAGGAAGTCCTTGCGGATACTTGCCATCCTGCGGTGTCGCCGGCCCACGTCCCCCTTGGCCTTGGCCCGGTTCCGGCTGCCCATCTTCCGGCGGGCCAGCTTCCTCTGCGACCGCCGGAGAGACCGGAGGCTGCGCTTGAGCGGTTCCGGACCCTCTACCTTCTCGATGGTCCCGTCCGGGTAGGCGATGGTGGCGAAGGTCTTCAGGCCCAGGTCAATACCCAGCACGCCATTACCACAGTGGTGGGGGTATTCCGCTTCGCCAATCTCTACACGGACGCTGGCGTACCAACGCCCGCCGTGTTCCCGTATCCGGCACTCCCGTATGCCCTTGCCGGGCCAGCGCAACTCTTCCTTCATGCGCACCTGGCCTATGCGGGGGAGCAGCAGGTGACTGTTGTCCACCTTCACGGTCCCTACGCCGTTATCTATGCGGAACCGGAGGCGGCTGTTCCTGCCAAGGAAGCGCGGTCGGCGGTTCTGGCCTCTATAGTACCGTTCTATGGCGTCCACCGCGTCCACCGCGTCCATCATCCCGCCCTTCACGGCGTTCTGGCTCAGCTCCCTGAACCAGGGGTGGGCTGCGTACTTCACCCGGTTGACCTGGGGCCGCAGTTCCACCGTCTTAAAGCGAAAGCCCTTGAGGCGCTTTCCCTCCTCCCTCCAGAGGGCAATGAGATCGTTGCGGGCGATCCGGGCGGCCGCCGCGTGGCTGCGGAAAGCCCATTCCTGGCGGTCGCTTGGCTGCAGTTCTATTACCTGGGCGATGATCATGGGTACAACCTGCAGGAGGTTCCAGGGTGCTTAACCAGCATATCGGCCCTGCCGGGCCGCTGTCGCCCAGCAACTGTCATCAATTAGGGAGCTTTAGGGCAGGTCAGGATAGATTTCTGCTAACAGTTAATTGCCCTCTTTACAACGGTGGTTGTCTCTATTGACCCGGTAGGTTATTATACTATGACATTACGACGAGATTAAGAGTATACTCGGAGATTCTTTATACTATGGTAAGACGACTGAAGCGAGAGGAAGTGCTGGCAATACGCAGCCAGTTCTCGGCCGGCCATACCATAACGGAAATCGCCGACGCTTATGGTCGAAGTTGGCCCTGCGTGGCAGACGTTGTCCACGGTCGAACTTATCAGCAGGTGAAAGACGGGCCAGCACCTCCCTTACCACGAAAGACAGGTAACCAAAAAAAATCGAGGGGAAAAGCGGAAGCTGCTAACACATTCGACTAGTGTCTCAATGAAAAACATCCGGCGTTGGTCGCGCCGGATGTTTCCTGGAATTGTCACCCATACCGTATCTGGCCGACCTTGATGGCCGCGGCGACAACACCGACAATACGCCGCCATTATACGCCAGAATCCCGGATGGTGACAATCCCTCTATGTCACATTTGGGAGTAATTCTGTGCCAGACCGAGTTAACTGGGCATACATGGCCTGCGAGGCCATGGAACTTTCACCAGCCGAGGCAGCCGTCCTGGCATTCCTCACATGGCGAGCGAACCAGCAGACTGGTTTGGCCTATCCCAGTCGGGAAAATATCCGCAGCCACACACGCCTCTCCATTGCCACCATCCGACGAGCCCTGCCGATCCTCCTAAAGATGGGTTTGATTGAAGATACCGGGCGTCGCATGGGCCACACCCAGGCCATCGTCATCTATCGCGTCACTGGCGCGGCCCAGGACTGGACGTGGGCGTCGCCAGAGCCGCTTCAGGCTCCTTTCCAAACGGCGTTGTCCCAAGAATCCCCAATGCCAGGGGCAGGGCAAATAGGGTTTGCCTCCGTGGAGGAAGCGGAGGACGACGGTGAAACCATCCCCGCTCACCAGCCACCGACCGATGCGGCCCGCACCCCTCCGGCCCCACCTTCGCCATGCGTATCGCCCCAGCAGGTCCAGCTCATCGGAAACATCATGCAAGAAAGACGATTAACCTGGGCTCAGATTATGGAGTACTGGGACACAGGACGGAAGGTCCAAAGCCATCCCATCCTGAGGATGTACCGTAGAGATGCGGCCCCGCGCCTAATTCAGCTGCTGCGATCGTTACAGCCATCCAGCGAGCCGGCAAACGAGAGGGAACGATTCCGACAGCAAGCTAAAGCCAGGGAACAGGATGCGCTGTCCCGCGGTCTGCCACGCGACGCCCGCACCAGATAAAGACCACACTCTTCACCACTTTCTCCACTTGAGCCGAGCATTGCCAAGCTGGGGGCATCCGCGCTCGAATCCCCGTCTGCACTTACTAAGCCGGGTCACAGCGACTGTTCGAGAAAATAAATTGCAAAACTCAAAAGAGCAGAGAGACTGCGTTGCCCGTAGCTAAACGCACGCCAGGCCAGATAAACTGGAAGACAAGGCAGAGATGCAGACCATCACCCTCAAATACAAGGCCGCCACGACCAGCAAAGGCTATCGCCAGCTGGAACAAGCCATGCTGGATTTGGGCCGCCTCCAGAACGCCCTCATCCTCACACCAGGCAATATCGGCCAACGGTCCCCACAGAGGACATGGTCCCGAACCTCCCGAGTACGCCCACCTGACCGACCTTCACCGGAATGATCCAGCGTACAACGACGGCGTACGCGCGCGCAGACTGCTGGAGTCAGTCGCACAACGGGTTAACACCAGCTTCAGCGAATACTTCAAGAGACCCGAGTACGGCAGAGCCCGCACTGCCAGTCCCTACCAGTTCAACACCCTGGAACTCTCGGAACCGGCTAACCGGCACCTAAAGCTCTCCGAGAGCGGCAAAACCGGATACGTCCATGTCACGGCCTGCCAAGGCTGAAACCTTCGAAAGGTGGATGAACGACTCCCCCAAGACCAGCAGGAGAAAAGGCAGAAAGAAAGAAAGTAGGCAGAAAAGAGCCCGGATGATACGCATACACGATACCCCAGGCGCTTCAACTTCAGTCCAACGTCCTGCTGGTATTCAAGATGAGAAGGGAGGCACCCAACCGTCAGCAACTCGGTGGCGCATCGACCCCGGCGTGAAACACATGCTGACTGCCGTGGACGACCAAGGACAGTCGTCTGGCAACATCCCAGGATTTGAGGACGCCCAGCACCGAAACGTAATGCGAAGATTGCGCCGCACGATGCAGCGGCAACGGAACTCCGCCCTCAAGGACGGCCGCGCTCGCTTCGTTTCACACCGCAACAAAAGTCGGCAAGGTCAAGCAGCGCTTACGCTGGACCGACGGCTTTTTTGGCAACAGGTACAGTATAACATATACTAATCAATATGGTTATAGGCAAACGTATCAGGCTTACCGACTGGGGCCGCCAGTATGGTCTGGATCCGCAATCCACCTGCGGTGCCTCCCCCCCCCCCCCCCCCCCCCCCCCCCCCCCCCCACCACCCCACCCCCCCCCCCCCCCCCCCCCACCCCCCCCCCCCCCCCCCCCCACCCCCCCCCCCACCCACCCCACACCCCCCCCCCCCCCCCCCCCCCCCCCCCCCCCACACCCCCCCCCCACCACACCCACCCCAACCCACCACCCCCCCCCCAAACCAACACCACCCCCCCCCCCCCCCCCACCCCCCCCCCCCCCCCCACCCCCCCCCCCAACCCCCACCCCCCACCCCCCCCCCCCCCCCCCCCACCCCCCCCCCCAACCCACAAAAAAAAAAAACAACCAAAAACGAGGGCAGACTTCCAGCACACCTGCGGGTCGAGAGGATCGGTCGCCTCTGGTACGTGATACTGCCTGACGAAGCACCGGCGCTGCTCACGGTGGGCTACGCCCGAGTGTCCAGCCACGAGCAGAAGCCCCAGCTGGAGCCGCAGGCGAATCGCTTGTGGGCGTATGCTGGACAGAATGGGATTGCGCTGGATCGAGTTGTTTCTGAGGTGGCCAGCGGTCTCAACGATCGCCGCCCGAAGTTGCGTCGGTTGCTGGCCGACCCCAAGGTGGGCACGATCCTGGTTGAACATCGGGACCGGCTGGCGAGGTTCGGTGTAGGCATGGTGGACGCCATGCTGCAGGCGCGCGGTGGCAGGTTGCTGGTGATTGAAGACAATGAGGTCGACGATGACCTGGTGCGGGATATGACCGAGATCCTGACCTGTTTCTGCGCGCGGCTCTACGGTCGGCGCAGCGCCGCCAACCGGGCCAGAAGAGCGCTCAGCATCGCGCAGGAATAGTCCGCATGGTCAAGACTCGCACTAAACAGCGTACCACCTGCCCTGATGGTTGGCTGAAAGCCGGCGTCAAGGTGCCGGTCAGCCTGACGGTGAAGCAGGAGCGGTACGCCACCCGCTCGGTGGGCATTGCCCGTGCCGTCTTCAACCTGATGGTCGCCACCCACCGGTCGGCCCGTGCCCAGTTCCACGGACTCTGGCCCAGCCCCATGGAACTGGAGAAGACCTTCAACGAGATGAAGCACGAGCCCGAGTTCGGGATGGAGTACGCCACCGAGGTCAGCAAGTTCGTCGCCCAGGGAGCCTGCCGCGATTTCAGGCGGGCCCATGAGAACTGGCGCAACCCCGAACTGCGGGCCGCCGTGCCCAGCTTCAGGAAGAAGAACCTCCAGGGTACCGGCTCGTTCCTGGCCGCCTCCGGCGTGGACCGCGTCAAGTACGATGGGCACCGCCGTATCGGGCTGCCCTATCTGGGCTCGGTGAAACTCAACCGAGAGCTTCCGGAGGGCATCGCGTATGAGGTGCGGATCAGGAAGGAGAACGGAGTTTGGTGGGCCAGCGTTAATTACTGGAAGCCGCCCGTCGACGCCGAGGAGAAAACCCACCTCTGCGGCGCTGTCGATGTCGGGATAACACCGCTGGCCGTGGACAGCCAACTGGTCCACTACGAGAATCCCAAAGCGTTGTACCAGATGCTGAGAAAACTCCGCCGGTGGCAGCGAGCACTGGAACGTCGCACCGTGGGTTCCCGAGGCTGGCACGAGGCGCAACGGCGGGTCGCTGCCATTCACCGACGCAGCATCGGACTGCGGGAGAACGCGCACCACGAGGTGAGCCGCCTGCTGGTCAGGAAGTACGCCGTGCTGGCCATCGAGAGTCTGAACGTGGCGGGCATGGACCAGCTCCCCCATCAGGCAAAGGCCATCCGCGACGCGGCCATCGGCGGATTGCTGCAGAAGATCCGTTACAAGGCAGACTGGTACGGCACCGTCGTAGTGGAAGCGGACCGGTTCTATCCGTCGAGCAAGCTGTGCTCCGACTGCGGCGCCCACAACGCCGCGTTGGGTCGGGAACCATACTGGACCTGCTCAGACTGCGGCGTGCGACACGACCGCAACGAAAATGCCGCGCTCAATCTGCTAACACTGGCAATCAACGCAGCTCGCGACCTGCCTAAACTCGCGCCAGGGCCGGTTGGGCCCGATGTAACGCTCCCGGACGGGAAGGCTCTGGCCAATGGCAGTAATGCCTGCGGTGAAACCGGCCCGGGTGAAGGGAGAACTGCCTTGTCGACGCTGGCATCGCCAGCGGTAGACGGTGGGGCTGCCCCCTGTGGTGGCAGCCGAGCGGAAGTGGTTATCAACACCCAGTTACAGCTGGCTATTTGATAATCGCCTACTTCCCAGACAACCCCTCCAGAATTACCTCAAGACCCTGGCCCAGCTCCGAAGAGTAGAGCAAAACGCCAGGACTCCCTGACCGGTTCCAGCACCGTATTACCAGCCAGCTGGTCAAAGACCACCAGGTAATTGCCATAGAAGATCCCGCAACGCCAACATGGTCACGTCCGCCAAAGGGACCATGGAAAACCCAGGCTCCAACGTCAGGCAGAAGGCCGGTCTAAACCGCTCCATCCTGTTCCAGGGCTGGTACGGCATCAGAACCAAGCTGGAGTACAAATGCCTGTGGTACGGGAGGACCTTTATCGCCGTTCGGGCCATGAACACCAGCCGCCTCTGCGGCCAGTGCGGGTCAATCCATTCAAGAAACCGGAAGTCTCAAGCATTATTCAAATGCAAAGACTGCGGCTTTGAAGCCAACGCCGACGTCAACGCGGCAGAGAACATCCGGCGCCAGGGGCTTGCCCTCCTGGCCAGGGCAGAAAACGGTTCGAAAGAACCGCCTGGGCGTGCCGCCGGAATCCCTTCGGGTAAGCAAACGCAGAAAGCGGGCCTGGAAGATTACGCTTCCAGCACCTGACGGCGCTGCAACGCGCGAACGCGATAACCCATCTGCCCAAGGCCAGGCCGGAAGCAGAGGTTGGGAACGTGTCAACCTCCGTATTGGCAAGGTATGTATTGGTTGTGTTTGGTCACCTGATGCGAGGTTGCCATTTTCCTGATTCGCCCAGGACACAGTTTGCATTACGAACACCTGTTCTGATAGCATGGAGTCATGGCTGCTCGCAAAGACAAGGGGTCTTCTTTCGCCAGCCCTGCCGGTTACTGCAGGGAAAGGCCTGCCGGCCACCTACCAGACCCGCATCAGCGACTTTGCCGGGATGGACCGCCCTGCCGGTGATGGGCTGCTTTCGGCCTACGCCGAACTGTATTGCAAGATTGAGCGCAAGCTCTTTTCCCAGGTGGCGGCGGGCCGGTCGGCCCCGTCGGTGAAGCAGGAGTACCTGCGGCGTTACCGGATACCGGGCCGGATGTTCAACGCCATCCGGGTTTCGCTGGAGGGCAAGGTGGCCTCGGTGCGGGAGCAGCAGCTACTGCGTCGGGATGACCTGCAGCGGCGCATTGCCCAGGCCCAGAAACAGATTGCCCAGGCTGGCCCAACAGCCCTGGAGGGCTGGCTGCATCAGAAGCAGCGGCGACTGGGGAACCTGCACACAAAGCTGGAGAAGCTGGATTCGGATATTGAGTCTGGCCGGATCCGGCTTTGCTTTGGTTCCAGGCGGTTGTGGCGCAAGCAGTATGCCCTGGGGGCCAACGGTTATTCCAACCACGCTGAGTGGCTCAGGGACTGGCAGACCGCCAGAAGTGATGAGTTCTTCGTCCTGGGGAGCCGGGACGAGACGGCGGGCTGCCAGCTGTGCGTGGCCACGGTTGGTGATGACGGGTCACTGACGTTGCGGCTCAGGGTGCCCGACGCCCTGGCGGGAGAGCAGGGCAAGTACCTGGTCATCCCCGGTATCCGGTTCAAGTACGGCCACGAGCAGGTCCTGGCGGCCCTGAAGAGCAACGCGGAATACGCGGCCTTCCGTCGCCAGCACGGGGAGCAGGCGGTTCGGCACTCGGGCCTGGGCCAGGCAATCAGCTACCGGTTCAAGCGGGATGGGAAGGGCTGGAGGATATTCGTGACCACCGACATGATGGACGTGCCAGTGGTTACGGACCAACGGCGGGGCGCCATCGGCGTGGACCTGAACGCCGACCACCTGGCGGTATCGGAGACGTATGGTGATGGCAACTGGCTAAAGTCCTGGGCGGGTGCCCCTGGTAACCTACGGCAAGTCCCAGCGCCAGGCTGAGGCCCTTATAGGTGATGCGGTAGCAGGCATTGTGGCCTATGCCCGGGATGCCGGCAAGCCCATTGTTATTGAGAAGCTGGACTTCCGGCAGAAGAGGTCTGGTTTGGAGGGGGAGTCCCGAAAGTACAGCCGGATGCTGTCCAGTTTCAGCTACGGCAAGGTCAAGGCCTGCTTCCTGTCCCGGGGGATCAGGCAGGGAGTGGAGGTATACCAGTTGAACCCGGCCTTCAGTTCCGTCATCGGCCGGGTGAAGTTCATGGAACGATACGGGCTCAGTGTCCACCAGGCCGCGGCCCTGGCGCTGGCCCGTCGTTTGCTCGGCTGTTCCGAGCGCATCCCCACGCCGACGGGTCTGTCCTGTCGGCAACGGCGTCCAGGTCGCCTTCACCGTACCTGCAAGGAAGCGGGTGAAGCACGTGTGGACGTACTGGGGTGCGGTTCTGGGACAGCTGAGACCGGCGCTTGCAGCGCAGCACCGGCTGGGGAAGCGGAGACGCAGACCCAATCCGGCTCGGGCTGCCCTGCGGACTGTGGTCCGTGGGTCGGCCTGAGCGGGGACCCGTTCGGTGTTCCCGGGTGAGATTCCCGGGCGGAGCCGCCTTGCACTGTTGGGGCGGCGGCGCGGCGTAGACCGCGTCTGCAGGAAAGGTTGGCGGTGTCCCTGTTACTAAAGTCATCCTTTTTTACAACGCCGTCATGGCTTGGGGACAACCAGGCGCTTCTCTGAGGAACGCTGAGGACCCAGGGCGAGTCAACCTGGGCTTTTTTATGCCTCCACCGGGGCGGAGTTCACCAGGGGCGCGGGTCAACCATGTATTGACACAGTGTATATCGCTTTGCTGACCGGAAAAAGCAGGCCACAATAGCAAGATGTCCGCGGACCGGTGAGACAGGACCCTGACAAAGTCGCTCATCACGGTCGCTCACCCTCGTGACATGCCACAGGAGAGTCACAGTCATGTGGTACCGGCATAGTGGGTCTTTGAGCGACACTAATCAGTGAAAGACCCTGCAATGTCGCGGGCGGCGTCTTGGCGACGCCTCCACCAGTCGATGGGGTGGCATACTGCCGGAGAGCAATTCCAACTCTTCCTACTCAGGAGGGTGGATGTCCCTCTAATCCGCCATCGATTTTATTCGTAGTCCCACTATTACGAAAAGTCATTGGAGTGAACCCGGAAAATGCTCACCAACCACCGATGTAAAGCCCAAGAGAGAGGATAATGACCAGTTCACCGCGCTCGGGTTTTGCGAGGCCTCTGACTCCGCCAGGAGCCGCATCAATCATTGATAGCCAGCTGGTTTGACTAGCCTGATCATTGAACACCGGGCATTGAATATTCAGGTGTGCGGTTGGTGCCCCAGTCGAGAAGCCTGGTCAATCTGCACGAGGCTGTGGATTTTTTGGAGGAAAGGATGATGACTCCACATCCAAGTCTGTTGAAGTCCCGAGAGGTCTGTGTGAACTGCTGGGGTGATCAGCAGGTCCACCTGCAGCCGGAGTGATCAACAAGGAGCAGTTCCCCGAAAGAACGTCGCTCCCGTAAAGCCCAGTACCGGTACAGAGTGGCCCCGCCGAGAGGTCGAGGATCTACATGGCGAACCTGCCCGCAGGTAAGTCGTTCAAGAGCTGAACCGAATATTGGTCCCGCCGTTGACCCCGGCGGGGCAGAGGGGAAAGGGGAGATAGTACGCCCTTTCGCTGACTACCATCCGAGCAATCTAATAGCAGCCGACTCTTTTCTGCCGCGGGCACGACCAATGCATTAGCCCTTTCGTGAGGCCAACTTGCCCGCGCAGACAGCACCGACGACTCCGTCCCGGACTTTGGGGAGAAATCACCAATCCAATTCTACCCAGGGCCCAACGCGGCTTGGTAAGGGCCCCACGGGGCGTCGTCGGCGCTGCCATGGTATTGTTACCAAGCTGGCAAGCCCTGGCAAAGCTCACCGGCCTACCGGACCCAAAACACAACGCGCGCCATGCACCAGCCAGGAATAGGGGAGCTGGCGATCCCAACAGCGTAGAACCCGACTCCGTCCCTGGGCATGGCCGTAAGGCTTCTGAGAGCCGCATTACCGGCGTTGAAACCCATGGCCCTCCCAACCTTCTTACCCAAGGGGCGTCACTCAAGAAAGAAGCCACGTGACAAGGATTACGGGCTGTCCTGTCGGCTTCGACCCTGGTGGGGCGGCGAGCGAAGCCATAGGCAACGGCTCATGACTCGTCGAATATTTCCCACCAAGTGTCAATTCCGCCGTGTTCAGGAATAGCGGGACGGCGGCCCTCTTATCCCTATGTCGAATACCTGGCCGGGGAAACTTGGCTTCGCTGGGCTTGCATTATGACGCACTGTCCCGTTGTGCGCCACCTTGCCTTGGCTGATATCATCAGGTTGCTGGTTTCGGCCTGACCGAAGGCTACCGTGTACTCTTTGCCAATGCTCATGTTCTCAGCCGCAGCCACAGCCCGTTGTGGGGAGTATTCTTTCGATGTCTTCTCTGACACCTGGGCTTTCTCAAGAACTCGGTCGAACCGTCAAGCACCAGCCAGGCCGGTACTGGTGTTTCGGGACGTAGGTTCCTGTAATTGGATTAGTAAACAGCCGAAAAGCCCTATCCGTCTTATTACAAAGCTGTGGTAACCAGAGTGGTAACCGGGATTGATACTGAGGTGTTCTGTATCTGAAAAGGCAAGGAAGTGGCTCCTTCGCCAGGGTCTGACGTCGGAGGCGATGCGGGAAGTGATTGAGAGGGAAAGTGAGGAGCTCGGCTACAACTTGCCGAACGGGTCAGCCGCGCTGCGTGATACGTTCGCCGTAGCGTTACCCAATGACGCTGGCGGCATCGCTGCAATCGAGCCGGACATGATCGGCGAGGCGCTGCTCCTTGACGTCTGGGGGGAGGACAACACCCACGCCGTCCCCGCAATCGCTCGCGCCTACGTGACCGATCCGGAGGCTGTGGCCAAGACCATCATCCGCACCTGCCAGGACTATGTCATCCGTGGCAACCGCCATCCCCTGAACTGGCTAGAAAAAATCCGCGCGGACAGCGCCGATCTATATGCCCTGATACACCTCTGCAATGCAATGCCAGCACACACGCTGGAACTGCGTGAGATTGCGGTCGAACTGGACAAAGCGGTCGTCCGCCAAGTCGGGCCTCCGGCGGGCGACATGCGAGACCTGGACCAGGTCATGATCCTCGCCGTGTTCCTCAATAACCTATCGAACCGCTTCTCCGATCTCGGTCAACGGGAGAAGGCGCTTCCCGTAATTGAAAAGGCGGTGCTGGTCTACCGGGAAGTGACTAGGGTCCTTCCCGAAGTCGGCCGGCCAGGGCTAGCCACCTCCCTCAGCAACCTGTCCAAGCACTTCTCCGATCTCGGTCAGCGGGAGAAGGCGCTTGGTGCAAGCAAAGAATCGGTGGAGATCTTCCGCGACTTGGCCGACGCCTCTCCCGACGCTTTCCGTCCCGACTTGGCGAATTCTCTCAACATCCATTCCATCTGCTTCTCCCATATTGGTCGGCGGGAAGAGGCACTCGCTGCAATTGAAGAGGCAGTGGTGATCCGGCGCGACTTGGTCAACTCCCATCCCGATGCCTTCCGTCCTAACTTGGCCCAGTCCCTCCAAAACCTTTCAGGCTGCTTATCCAGCTTAGGTCGGCAGGAAGAGGCGCTAGCCGCGATCGAAGAAGCGGTGACGATTGGACGCGCTTTG